ACCAAAAATCACAAAATTTAAAACTTTCAAAAACAACCCATAGCTATAAAAATGTTTACAAAACCAATGTTTCCAAATGTTTATCAAATATCAAAGTATACCAAAATCATAACGTCATCAGATCGGAGGATGTGTATGGTCACGCCTTCTCTTTCCCGCGATCATCAAAAGTACCTGAAGCCATAAACTAAAACCGTAAACCAAATCTTAGTGATTTCCCCCAAAGTACCACCACACAAATAGATAAGATATACAAACAAGCATGTCGGGTACAATCAACCATCCAATTGGAATACCCCCGGACCAGTCAACCTCCGGGTCCAGTCATCCTCGGGATGGAATACCCCATGCTGGAATGCCAATATACAATGGATCCAGTCACCTTCGGGCCCAATCAACCATCGGGTTGGAATGCCCCCGGTCTATTGGCTCATGCAAATAGTAGTAAAGCCTCAACCATAACTTAAAATATGTGCACATATAATAAATAAACATATAACCGACCAACAAACTAGCAGACAGATCTAACAGAACACTACAACATAACGACATAATATCACATAATAGGATATCTAATCCATTGGGCCGGCCTTGGTGCCTTTGACCCATAAGTATAATGAGGAAAACTCACCTCAAAGTCTGGACAATAGCTGATGAGGTCCCCACTCCGAATCTCAGCTCTAACCATCACCTATCCAACCAAATGACCAAATTCTCAAACACTCCAAAATAACCAGAATATCCTTAAGTCAAACTTGGTCAACCTTTGTCAAAGTCAAAGCCAAACTGGTCAAAATTAACAAGTCAACTGAGTCACTCCAACCAAGTCAACTTACGGCGCGTACGTGGGGTGTACTCCAGAAGTACGTGGGGCGTACTCGAGCATTGACCACCGTTGATGAGGTTGACCACGTACATGTTGCATACTCAGGTTACACATGTTGTACGCCCAGACTTCCCAAAAACACATTAAGAGTTTAATGTATTAAGCTCTCACGTCCAACTTCCAGATCTAAGGCTAAAATACCATTGAGAGTCATAAAGTTCCAAATATATGACCTTGCATGTCCATTAAGTGCCCAATACCCTAAAGTACAACATCTTAATGCATTAAGACCTTCTAAAGAATGCATGGAGCAAAACTAACCATCCAAACCACATTTTTCTGACTTACGACCCTTCCTAAGGTCTGAAAGGACGACTTAATGGGTCAAGAACATGTCATGCTCAAGAATCACCATTTTGGGTCAAAAGTAACTTAATGGAATGAAATGTCTAGATCTACCAGATGGAGTGATAAAGTTGCAAGCTTTATACCTCCCGGGGGTTGCAAACAATGACGGAATCTCATATCCAAAATGCTTCCAAGCTCCAAGCTCTTCTCACCACCTTCTTCTTATCTAAACACACCTCCAACACACTCCTATGGCTCAAAAATGTACTTTTCTCACTTAGAGTTGCTTGAAGACATTTTTCACAGAGGGAGGCTACTGAGGATATGAGGCATGAAGTTATAATGGTGATTATAACATCATGTGCGTATGCCCAACGTATGAGATGTACGCCCAACATACTAGGGTTTGCCCTAGTACTCTCAGCGTACACATCATATGCCCAGCGTACTAACCTCAAGTCCAAAATTACCACAATGCCACTATAGGCCATTTACGCTCTTTGCTGTACTCAGGGACTAAAACACAATATTCATTCATACTAAGCGTTAAAATTGAAAATACCTCAACATCGGGATGTTACAATATGAAAATATTGTTTGCATGAGTAATATTAATAATCTAATCTTCAATTTTGATTCTTCCGAAAGTGTATTGGATAAGTCATGCTTTTGGCATTATTGTCTTGGCCATTAAACAAGAAACTCAAGCTCAATTTGATGGGATCTTGGAAGAATTTAACTTGAAGTTAGACGATATGTGAAAATCTTGCTTGCTTGAAAAAAATGACAAAGGAGCCACTCATATGTAGTTGTGAAAGAGGTGGGGAGTTGTTGGACCTTATCCATACATATATTTGTGGACCGTTCAGATCCTCCATAAGTCTTGGTGAACAATATTTCATGAACTTTACTAATAATTTCAGTAGATATGGGTATATTTATATGATCAAACATAAGTCAAGAACTTTTTAAGTGTTCAAAGAGTTTCAAAACGAAGTAGAGAATATACAGGCAAAGAAAATAAAGATGCTCTGATCTGATAGGGGTGGAGAATATCTAAGTCTTGAATTCTACGACCATCTTAAGAATTATGGATTAGTTTTAGAATTATATCCTCCCAAAACGCCACAGCTTAAGGTGGTTTCTAAGAGAAGAGATCGAACACTATTATATATGGTTTGATCTATGATGAGTTGAGATGCACTTCCAATAAGTTTATGGGGTTATTCCTTAGAGACAGAGGCCCATATCCTATACCTCATACCAACTATTAAGGTTGCTAAGACACCCTTTGGGATGTGGATTGGGAAATATACCTCGCTAGCACATATAAAAGTATGGGGTTGTGAGGCATTCGTTCGTTGTGAGACCCAATACAAAGTAGATACATATCAGAGAAGTGGTACTTCTATGGTTATCCCCAAAAGTCTTTTAGATACTTTTTTACTAGCCTTCTGCGAACAATGTGTTTATAGCTTGAAGGGGCTTCTTCCTTAAGTGGGAGCTCATATCCAAAGAAACCAATGGGATTCCACTGATGAACACGCTCCAAGACTGAGATTAGACAATTCATGTTTAAGAGCCGCATCACGTGAACCTTTGTTGTTGAGAAAATTAGCATTCAGTTTGTTCCACGCAACTTGAGTGGTGGTGTCATTCTCCAAAATTCGAACCATTAATTCGACAGGGTGCTATAGATCCATTGTAATACTAGGGTGTTGATCTCCACCCACCGGTGATAAGCAAGATCAGTCTCTGTCGGCGGAGGAGTGTCATTAATGTGATTGATTACCTTGTAGGCTTTGGCATGGAGACATGACAACTTAGTCCAAGAGGAATAGGTAACTTTGGTGCCTCCAAGGTTCGAATCTTTTTCTGAACATTCATTACAATACAAGGTCGTTGCCTTTACCTCACCTGATCCATAATCGTCTTTGGTCATGGAGAATAGAGATGATGATATGAGATTAGCAAAGTTGTAGCTTTGATTGATAGAGGCAGGCGATGTAGGATTTTAGAGTTCGTTTACCGCTTTGATACCATAATAGAGGTTCTGGTATAAAGATTTGATGCCTTCAACAGATTAACAATCCCCTATATATAGGGAGAAATACAAATAATACAACTGTAGAATATGTAGATAAAATAGGAATGAATATTCAACAATTCGAATTATATATATATATATATATATATATATATATATATATATATATATATATATATATATATATATATATATATATATATAATCAGCTAATAGAAAGTATCAATCTGGTTTTACTCACTAGACATTTCCAACCCCTAACAAATATTATGACATGTATTCAAATGAAAGAGGTGAATTAGAGGATCTTGGATATTTAAGAAAGACACAATTATTTAGTGGTTACTTTTATTATGTAATGATATTATGATTGTGTATCATCTCTTAAACACTTTTAAAACCTATGAATTTTTTGAGAATGTGACTGTTTTTTTGCAACGATGTCTCTAATTAATTAATTATAGACTTAAAAATGGTTTTAAACTATTAAACCAAGAATGGAGTGTTTTAGTTTAGGAGCTAAAAAAAAGAAAGGGGTAGAGTTCAAAATAGCTTGAAAGTAAGCATTGATAATATGCTACTGACCAATGCATTGCATATTGTTCCATCTTTTAGAAGGACAACTTCATGAAAAGGAAAATACTTATCCAACTTTGGAGGGCTTAATACTTATCCAACTTTGGAGGGCTTAAGGGTTGGTCAAGTTTATGGGAAAAGAAACACGGAGATGGAGATTGTGGGATAGTGGGAAATGATAACATCCAGAATTCGGTATTTAAGTTTATGTTCATAATATGTTAAAAGGGATGAGTATGGTTGCATCAATGGTTGTGGTCATATTCATCACTTGTTTTATTTCTTTCCAAACATGAAAGCTTATGTATGGTGCATGATCTTGCGTAATTTCTTCTCACACACACGAATATGTTTGAATCGGCACCACAAATAGTGATACAAACAAACCAAGCCAAACTCAAAGCTAGGCTAGGTTTGAAATTAATGTGTAGGCTTAAAAAGAGATTGGGGTTGAGAACTATCTTCAAGATTCAATTTTGAACCAAAAATAAGTATAGATGTTGCATCAAACTACTTAAAAGTTTGATAAGAATTCAACTTCAATTTTTTTAGCTTATTTTTATTTTCAAACTCAATAAATCAATTTGTTTGCTATTCGAATGTCATAGTTGTTAGACTAGAACACAAAACTTGTATTGTGCTTTGTATGGATTAGACTAGGATCGATTGATATTTATAGTACAAAAATCATAATTTTTGTTCCTCCCAAAAATGTGAAACAAGGTTGGACTCCTACGTCCTCTTGGTTTGTTATCGATGCAAAAGACATAAATGCCCTCAAGATTGGAAATACTCTACTAAATATGTCTAATCTTATCTTTGAATTGTATAACAAACACATCCTACACCCATAATATAGCTAAGTTGGTTTCAAGGTGACATTTTGAGGCTTCGGCAAGAGGTGGATGCTACCAAACAACTAAACAAGGTGTATTGCGTTTGGGACATACACTAGTTCTTATTTCTCAAAGACGTAAATACCCTCATCAGTTTGGGACATACACTAGTTCTTATTTCTTAAAGACGTAAATACCCTCACCATCAAAAGCATCCCTAAAAAGTCAATAACACATCCCATTCAAGTCTTGCAATAAAAATGTCGGGTGTCTCCAAATTAAAGTATTTGCTAACTAATTAGTTCCCTTATTCGTAAAAAGGGTGCTAGAAATTAGTCTTTTGGTGTTTAAGTGAACAAAACATGGCCTATTATTATGTATAGAAATCGAAAAAAGTCGGATCAATGTGTGTGTTTGTTTTTTTGTTCTTTTTTTTTTTTACAAAAAAAAACTCCAACCTCCTACCAACAAATAATAAGTAAAAATAAAATAAAATAAACAGTTTTATTGCAAGAAAATACACAAACATGTTACACCCATGATTCCAACATTTCCATAATCTACTCCCTAATCATTCAACATTAACAACACTATTATTTTTCCTCGACCTCGCACGTGTGTAAACCCTTGTAGGTTCTTCCATCACAATCTCTTTCACAGAAGGATTCGGATTAGGGTTTGACTCGGTTTCCACCACCTCCATGTCATCAGGCGGTGCCACCACCGCCACGCTTTGTGACGAGCTTGCTTTTTGTGCTTTTGAGATGGCAGCGGCGGCAGGTGGTGGTTGTGGGCGGTGGTTGGCGGTTGGGTTGTCTTGTTGAGGAGATGAATCAAATGATGATGCTGAGGAGGAGGTGGTGGAAGAAGGTGATGGCGGCTCTTTTGGTTCTTGTTGAGATGGTGGTGGTGGTCGGCGGTTTTGTGGCGGTTGTCGAGGTCTAGCGGGTTGAGGCGGCTGTGGTATTGGTGTTGACTGTGAAGCAACGTATTGAAGAATGTCAAAGATTCTTGTTTGACCATAAGTTGCAGCTCTTTGCCAATACAAAACAAGAATATCTCCAGCTCTTGTTCTTAATTCCATTAAATTTCTATCAATGTCTGTTTCATGCTTTGAAATATATGGCCTGAAGAATGAATCATATACATATATTGTTCCCTGAAATAATTTAACCCAAAAAAAAATACACTTTAATATAGTTTTTAGTTTTAGCCAGTGCTTTATATAGTTGTACAGTACAATCATCTAAAGCATAAAATAAAAATTGTTGTGTACAAATCACTAACCATTATAAAAATAAAACACCCTATATATTACTTTGGTTTTTTTTTCAGGATTAAACCTCAAATTTATTTTTGGACTGAAAAAGACCTTGTATTTTTTTATTTTTTCCGATCTCGTCCTTTTAGTCATTTTTTTCCAAAAAATTGAAAATTGTGAAGGTTTTTTTGAGAAAAAACAAAAAAGAGTTGAGGGTTTACTTTGGGAGCATTTAGAAGGTTGAGGGTTTTTTTCAGAAAAAAAAAATACAATTGAGGGCTTTTTGGAATAAATAAAAAAATACAAGGTCTTTTTCAGGTAAAAAATAAATTTGAGGTTTAATCCTGAAAAAAACATAAAATATAAGGTCTTTTTTGAGATTAACCATTTTTTTCGAAAAAAACCCTCAACATTCTATCTGTTTCCGAAAAAACCCTCAACTTTTTTAGGTTTTTCCGAAAAGCCCTCACATTTTACAAGTTTTTTCGGAAAAACATGACAAATAAGGCCGGATTGAAAAGAAAGAAAAAATGCAAGTTTGTTTTCAGAAAGAAAAAAAAAAAAAAAAAGTTTTGAGGTTTAATCCGGAAAAAAAACATAAAATCTAAGGTCGTTTATGAGATTAACCTTTAAAAAAGATGTTAAATATGTATGAGGGTTTTTTCGGATTTTTCCAGAAAATATTGTCTAAAACCAAAAGATTAAAAGGTTACCAGTAAACCTGCTAAAAGGGCCAAATCGGAATAACTGAAAAATGCAAGGTCTTTTTTAGGAAAAAACTTAAAATATAGGGTCTTTTATGATATTAACCCCCAAAAAATAAGATAAACATTATTTAAGATAATGAAAATTCGAAATATAAATATTTAGACCTTTAAATGTAAAGAATAAAAATTACCTTCGTTTTTGGGTACCACAAGTATATGTAGAATGCTAACTTTGCTTCACTGTACATTGGAACCCTTCACAAGTAAAACAAACAAAAACAAATAAGTTATTACATTTTATTATTATTGGCTTGTAAAAATTAATATATGATTTTTTTATTATATGTAGATACAATGTATAACTTAGACTCTACTCTACACTATTTTATAATAAATAATGAACTTTGTATCTACAGATGTAAAACATTAAACATAATAAAAGCTCATTGAAACCCAAATAATATTATTATAATAAAATATACTTTCCTTTAGCCTTGTAAATCTTCTGATTCTAATAAAGTTTGCCACAAGATATCACTTTATCCCAAAAAAAAAAAAAAATTAAAATCGTAAAATATTAAGAAAACTTTTCATTTGATTATTTAAAAATACATAAAGAAAAAAAGGGTTATTTAACAATTTTTCATTCCACTCCATGATGGAATGGAAAACACCTTCTCATAGGAAATGGAGAAACTAACAAAATGAAAGGAATCAAACATTCCATTCCATTCCATCATACCAAAAAATTACAGGCTTACCATGAAACAAACGTGTCACCAATCCTCTCACAAACAGTCAATACAGCAACTAAGATCCTGAAAACATCATCAAACAATTTAGAAAACTCTTAAATTTATCAATCAATCATTCAAATTCAATTGCCTTTGTTATAATTCAAATCTAACACGTATAGATGCATAATACCAGTATTGGCACCAAAAACGAAGTTGTTCAATATCAGGTTTATTTCTCTCAACTGCTTTGAAGCATTCATAGGCTGGATATGCATATCCAAACACCATTCTACATGTAAATAAGTAGTCAAATAGTTAAAAGAAATCCAGTTATGATTCTCCATAAACAAAGTAAAAAAAAAAAAAAAAAACAAATTTTAGATCACATACACAAGCCCTCTTGTAAGAAAGGATCCAATCATCTTGTAAACCTGTCAAACACACTAAACACAATCATTACATGACAAAAATGAAAATTCATAATCCCAATAGGAGAAATTCAAAAGGAGGGAATTATGAAGCAAGATTCAAATTAATCAGACATAGTCTAAATCCATAGGTGTTCTGACAAATTGTTAAAACTGAAATGTTGGGTAGTTGGTAATTTATTACAGCAATTGACCAAAACAGAAAATTGATGGATGATTCTTCATCTAATCATCTTTACTTCAAAACCTATTAGTTCAACGAACAGAATCACACGAGTTTAAGGCAGAAAATAGTACATTTACTTTTAAAAGTAGCACATGTCATGTGTACTATGGCCACTGGTTACCATCGTAGACTGAATGTTGCAGTTTTTTTGTCGATATGAACAGCTAGACAAAGAAACTAACAAGATTGATGCCAGTTCTGTCGCAACTGAAATCACATTTGCAGATTTTTAGCGATATATTTGTTTCTGATTGCATGTACTATATAAAGTGGAAAATCCCTATAAGCATAATTTATAAGAAGAAATCTTATCCACTGAAGGAATCACATTTCAACAAGTTTCCGAACTACGAATCAAGCTAAGAATCTTAGACGAAAAGTCACGAAGACGAAAAACAAATTCAAAGTTACTGACAACAGCAGTAACTCCATGTAATCCATTTGCCGATCAAAAGTTCGTCAGGTGAAAGAGCAAAAATAAAATAAAAAATCAAACCTAGAAATTGGCAAAACAACACAAAAACGAAAAATCAATATAAATTTTAAAAAAAATATGGCAAATTGCATCACGAACTGCATAAAACTTGTATAATACCTCGAATAAATACAGAGAAAAGTAGAAGTTACCTAAGGTTTTACTGGTTGTTGGCGAAAATAGTTGAGCTGAAGAAAAGTTGCAGAAATTGGAGTAGTGTCGATAAATGATAAGCAAACTTGCATAAATTTTGGTGCAGAATCCGATTATATCGGGGGAGCGTCGCCGCCGTAGTGCGACGGGAAACAGCAGCTACGTTGGACGGAGGGAAGAGGGAGAAATCGGGGAGAGGATTTTGAGACGTTTGAGGAGTTTCTGACTTCTGTTTCCTTCTCTTTTCTAACCCATCTATATCTTTACGTTTTCCAAATTCTAGTCATTAAGTACTTCCCTCTTGAACCCACGTCTTAGTAGATTAATTAGTTAATAATATCGGTAATTTATTAAGGTAATTAAATTTTCGGTTTATTTATTTCTGGGTAGTTATCTGTTTTTTTTTTTTTTACATATCTAGTTAACGAATTTTTTGGAAGTGTTCACATATGACCTGTTGTAGTATGTTATATCCGGTTATACCGGTCATATGTGAACACTTTCAATGAATTTGTTACCTAGATATGTACGAAAAAGATAGTTATTCAGATGTGAAAAAATCAAAAAGTTAATTACCTTAACAAGTGATATTCCCTATCATTATAGCCCTACAAATTTTTTAGGTTTAACGTCTTTAATGAATTTTTATTTATTTATTTATTTATTGTAATTTATATGCTTAAAATCTGTTTTTACTTGTTAATAAGGTCACTTGACTCAATATTACAAGTTTCATCTCCTCCAACCTCCTCCTTTATATAAGAGTTTGTCTACCGATCATTAAAAATAATAATAATAATAATAATAATAATAAAAAAAAAAATCATAGCTAGGTAACAAAACCATCAATTTTTCCTTTAATCGAACATATATCACAAAAATCGAACAGGGGCTCATCACTCTTAAACAAACACTATGCCCTAATTTCATTGGAGGGATGTGATAGTAGTCATTAAATTCTCTCCAAGTATACGAAGTTCATCGGGAATTTTGCTAGCATCGTTGCAAAGTATAATATCTGCTTGGCATAGTCAAATTAAGGCTTATAAATGGAGCAATGACAAAACAATATTTGGAATTTGGGTTTGATTTGTTCTTTAAAATGGGAAAAGACACATATAAAGCTTGTATAAAATGCATTGTGTATGGTTTAACTTTCAACAAAGAGAACATCAACTTGAAAGCTTCATAAATCATCAGAGAAAATAAGATGACCACACCTTCAACTACCTTGTTCCAGCTGGATTTATGGAGTCTGGTGGCTTTCTTGTAGGAGTCAAGGATGAGTTGACTAAGAAATATGGAGGTAGGAAAGATGTTATAGACAAAGTCATGTAATTTACTAAGAAGACTATTTATACATTTAAATCATACATTCAAAGTTTCTTCATCTTCACAATCTTGAGTAAAAATCGAAGGAAAATTGACTTTTCCCAAGTCATTTGCCATCCATTTCTCCCCACAAGCAACATCTAGTTCGTCTAAGCTTTGAACTGAACTATTTTCTATTATCTCATTCATTATCATCTCTGGTTTCCCTTTAATTTCTTCAACTCCATTGTTGGATTTATCTCTGATTTTGTTTCCTTTTCTTGAAAATGGTTTCACTTTCTCAACTTCATTATTTAGATTACTACTCGTACTACCTTTTCTTGATAAAGATCGATTTGATATGGTTCTCTAAACTGGGCATCTCTCAATTCCATCCATGGAAACACTTTGTTCCTTACAATTAGATTTCCATGTTTACCTTTTTCCACCGACACCATGAGAACTATGTTTAGATCTCAAAACCACCTGCATTTTAATATGGTGTTTGGGATTTCATTACAAAACAATCTCCCTAGTAGTCTTAGTTCTATGAAAGAGAAATAAATTGTTATGGGCAATCTTTGTCAAAAGTCAAACTTGGATTTTTATTAAATATATAATAAGATTACGTGTGTGTATATATATATATATATATATATATATATATATATATATATATATAGGGTCGGGATCAAATGTGAATCATAAATATTGTGTGAGTGTATGATAAAATTGTGGTCACTAGTTTAAAAGAACTTAGTGGATGTGATCTTAAAGTACATAGTATTAACATGTGATAGAAATAACTATATAATTATATTTAATTGATTATAAATATATTAAATGATAAATATGACATTTTATTAAAAGAGATAAAAGGAAAGTAACTAAATTTGAGGAAACCGAATCAACTCTATTAATAAATTGTTATGGGCAATCTTTGTCAAAAGTCACACTTGGATTTTTATTAAATATATATAATAAGATTATTATTATTATTATTATTATTATTATTATATATATATATATATATATATATATATATATATATATATCGGGATCAAATGTGAATCATAAATATTATGTGAATGTGTGATCAAATTGTGCTCACTAGTTTAAAAGAAATTAGTGGATGTGATCTTAAGGTACACAATATTAACATGTGATAAAAATAACTATATAATTATATTTAATTAATTATAAATATATTAAATGATAAATATGATATTTTATTAAAAGAGATAAAAGGAAAGTAACTAAATTTGAGGAAACTGAATCAACTCTATTAATAAAATCCAAATATATACTATTAAAAATAAAATCATTTATCATAATCACGTATTGAAGAATTTGTAATATTCACAAAGCATGAAATATATTTCATTCTTTAAGAATCATTCTACTTCATTAATCATATTTTGTTCTTTAAGAATCAGTTTCATTCATGATTTATATAATAATAGCAATATATTTTTATACAATACTCATAAAGCATGAAATTAAAGAAAATACGATTTGATTCTTTAAAAATAAAAATTTACTTGTAACCGATTTCATTCTTTCAGAATCAAATTTTATTCTTTAAGAATGTATTGATTAATAATGTTTTTGAACTCCTATCATAAAGCAAGTGATGTGTAACACCCATTCCGAGAAGGTTTAGTTCTAACCCTAAAATGTTTTAATTCTTGTCATTTTAGTCTATACGCCGAGTGTACTCGGGGTGTACACATGTGTACTCATGCATGAGGATCATAGGATTCGCACGCGTACATTGGGTATACTTAGCAGCTACATCGTGCGTACGTTATTCAGACCAAAACCATGAGTTTGAGGGTTTGCACCTTATATAATCTCCTTATGGCCCCAATAACCCTAAGTGTGAAGAATGCATCTTGAGCTCATTTGTGTGTTTTGGTGGTAATCTTGAAGAAAAAGAATGTTGTAGAAGGACATAGGAGCTTGGAAGAAGATTGGATCTGGGATTCTCTCATTGATAGTAACCTTCATGAGGTAAAAGGCTCCTAGCTTGATCATATTTTCTTATAGATCAAGATATTCCTTCATTTAGGGCATTTTGGTCCCAATCTTTGTGATTCTTGAGCATGGTATTCTCTTAACTAAATAAATCGTCCTCTGAGGCCCAATGAGGGGTCTTGAGTCATAAAAATGAGATCTTGATGCTTAGTCCTTCCTCATGCATGCTCTAGAAGGTCTTTAGGTGTTAAGAAGTTTGGAATGTTGGTATTAAGCACTTAATGGGAATGAAAAGTCATAAAGTTGGAAAATATATGACTCTGAGTTGTATTTTGGCCTTCGATCTACAATTGGAACGTAAGAGCTTAATAGAGTAAGCTCTTATGGAATAAAGGACTTTGGTGCGTACGTTATGCGTAACACTATGTACGTCGTGCATACGAGGTCAATCGACCAATCCCGGTCAAGGTCCATGTACGCCCAACATACAAGTTGAGTACGCCCCATGTACTCAACAGAGTTGATCGAGTTGACTCGTTAACCTTTAACTTTGACCAGAGTTTTGATCAAGTTGGACATAGGGGTATTTTGGGTATTTTGATCTGTTAATTAAGATTAGGTCCTGATTTTGGGTTAGGTGATTGTTGAGTTGAATTTTGGAGCAGAGATTTATTCAGCTTGCATTTGACTGAGAGGTGAGTTTTCCTCATTGTATCCATGGGTCGAAGGCACCAGTGCCAACCCACTAGATTATGTATCCTGGTTAGGATAGTGTTATGCTAGTTTGTAGTTGTTAAGTAGATATGTATGATTATATGTATTTGTTGGCTCTATGTTTATGTTTATCTATTGCATATGTCGATATATCGTGTTAGGTTAAGGCAGTCCTACTTTGGGTTGTAGGCTAAGACACCCGGGGATGACCGAATAGGCTGTAGGACCTATGAGGCGGCCCAGTCCGGTCGGCGGCCCATAGAGTGGTTCGGATAGGCTGTAGGCCCTATGAGGCGGTTCATGTAACATCTCAAAAAGAGGGAACTTAAATAGAAGTTTGATGCATTGGGTTGTGTAACGCCCCGCTCCTGATACGTGTTTAAATTATTAAAGTATTCATTTTGTAAGATCTACTTGACGAGTTGGTAGCCCTAACTCGTCGAGTAGATGCCAAATTGGATGCGGGATTTAAGTGTTTTACTCGACGAGTCAGAAGCCTTTACTCGATGAGTAGTTCCGTCAGGAGGAAATCCTAATCTTTAGGGTTTGTACCCTGTTTAAGCATCATATCCAGCCTCCACTCCAGTCTTTATCACTTCCCAACCCACTCTCGAAACCCTAATCGATCTTGTGCATTCTTGAGCCATTTCCTTGCATCTTGTGTGGTTTGAAATTAGGAGAAGGAAGGAAAAGAGTGAAGACACAAGAAGAGGGCAGAAGATCTAGAGTTTTTGTGACATCTCAGACTTGTTAAAGGTATAAAGCTTATACCTTGGCTTCTATCCACTTAGATCTTCATGTAGACTTGTTATTGCCACTTTTTGGTTCATTTCCAAGGTCTTTTCAAGATTTGAAACTTGGGGGATGAAAGGACTTCAGATCTAGGCATTACTGAGCTTTAGAAGCTCAAAGTTGTCACCTTTATTCAACCATAGCCCCATGCCATGACTTAGACCTTCATTCCAGCTTGTAATGAGTGTTTTGGCCTTATATCATCATGCATGAACGTAAAGTTAGCAACTTTACGTGTTATGCTAGCCTAAGGAGTCCAGATCTATGAGTTGGAAGCATTGGAATCAATTAGAACTAACTGTATGGTTTTGGCATGCAAGGGACTCGACGAGTTGTTCATGGGACTCAGCGAGTCGGGTCATAGTCCCCAAGCCTCTTCTGTTTCCCGAGTGAAGTTCGTTGAGTTGGGAAGAAGCTCAACCAGATGGACAAGAGTTAGACCAAGAAGTTGAAGAACTCGGCGAGTCCGTGAAGGGACTCGACGAATTGTTTCGTTTTGTCCCGATTTTGTATAGATGGAACTCGTTGAGTCTGCGAAGGGACTCGACGAGTTGATTCAATTTACCATCGGGTCTGATAGCATAGAACTCGACGAGTCAGCAGATAACTCGGCGAGTTGGGTTGACTGGGAGTTGACCTTGACTTTGACTTTAACAAGAGCATTGTCTTTGACCAAGGCTAAAATGGGTATTTTACCTTGAGAAGGAGTTACAAATAGTGACTAAGTATTATTGTGATTTTGATAGATGGGAAGTCGTTGGATCAACTACCAGATATTCCTCACCATGAGATTTCACAGACAGCTTTGCGGGGTGAGTTTTCTCCTGTAGGAACAGGTCTAAGGCACCAATGTCGGCCCGTTTAGTTACTAGTAGTTCCGGACTACGGTCCGATACCGGGAGAGGCCCGATGTAGTGTTATATGCTTTCCTGATCTCGATCTAATGTCGGGTTGGTCCCGAGGAATGCTTGTATGTCTTTATGCTTGATGTCTTTGTGATTCTTGCATGTATTTGATATATGTTAGGAATTTCGGGATTTCAGTCCGATGTCGGGGCAAGCCCGAAGAATGTTTGGTTAGTATGATGTGATAGTATGCTTCTGGATCTTGGTCCGATGTCGGGTGGGGCCCGAGGAATGTTTACTTGATAGTATATGTGTTATGTTATATGTTAATATGTATGTTGAGACTTGCTCGATGTCGTGCGGGGCCCGATGCCGGACCAGTCGATGCCGAGCTAGTCTCGATGTAGCAGGGGCGGGGTCGGGCCCAAGATATGTTATATGTTATGTGTATGGTTTGTGGTAGTTTGTGGGGAGCTCACTAAATTCTGTGCTTACGGTTTTCAATTTTGGTTTCAGGTACTTCCACTAGCAAGGGGAAGGGCTCGGGATGATCGCATGGAGCACAGTAGGGATGAGATTTAGAACCGGAAAACCGGACCGGAACCGGAACCGTTAGAACCGAAATATATAGAACCGGTTCTGATTCTGGGTTTAAAATTTTGCTTTATCTGGGTTCCGGGTAATCAGGATTTGGGTCCATTGGGTCTGGGTAAATCGGGTCTAAAAAACGGAACCGCTATCTGGAACCGGAACCATTTTTAGGGCAAGAACCGATTTTTGTGAAACGTTTAAAAGATTCATATTTCATTTGTTTCAACTCCGATTGACATGCGATTTTTTCCAACGTGTATTTTAGAGTTTGTACATGATTTTAGACTATAAATTTGCCATTTTTAGTTTTATATTCATTGACTTATAGTCCATGAAATTCGAGATATCAAAGTTGGAAGTTTTAGTTTTTTCGTTTTTTTGTATTCTGTGAAAGTCTTAAAACATGCATATCTAATTCGTTTAAATCTGAACTTACATGTGGTTTTTTCCAACGTGTAGTTTAGAGTTTGTACATAAGTTTAGACTATAATTTTGTTATTTTTGGTTTAATATTCAATGATTTATAGTCCCTCGAAGTCGGTATATCAAAACTGAAAATTTTTAACTTTTTAG